CTTCTTCTTCTTCTTCTTCTTCTTCTTCTTCTTCTTCTTCTTCTTCTTCTTCTTCTTTCTTTCTTTCTTTCTTTCTTTCATCTCTCATATCTCTTTATTCTAAATTTGTTGGCTCTCCATAAAAATCCCAAGTTTTAGGACTCAAAGTCCCCCAGTTAGGATAAGAAGCGTACGTTTTAGGGAACAGAGTCCCGTACAATGGTGCAAGATTAGTTTTTTTGTGAGACATGGCATGATAATATTATGGCATGATATTATTTTGAAATAGTTTGGTATCCATGTCGGTACTGTTCCATTAAACGGCATTTTCAACACATTTCTTCCTTTCTGGTTCAAGTAAATTTTTAGTATGCCTGTTATAGAGGAAGGTTTTCTGATTATAATGACACCAAAATCGTCTTTGTTTCATTTTTCCCCCTCCCCCCTCCCCTCCTAGTGAGAAGAACGAATGAACATGTAAATTAGCGTGGCTAAAAATAAAGGAAATCAATCCAGATTTTTTTCCAATCCTCACTCTGACTCAGACGGGCATGAAAATGTTGTTTTCATGTGAGAATCGTGAATGGGTCCTTTTGTTCAATTGGCTGGTCATCTGAACTCTGTTGGTCGGGATCTATTTCGCCAGCTGATATTGGTATGGTATAAAAAATGTATTACACTCATTATGGTGGTAGACCATGATTTATCCTACTTGTGAAATTGCCAGTTGTAATCATTCGTTGAAACTCGTGATTACAACTTGGCAATTTCATTCAAAGGAAAATCTACCACAACTCATGTAATAAATTATTTTTCTCAATTGACTGCATTTAATATTATGATTCATAATTGATATTATTATGTCTTGCAAATGTAATGATCATGCATTAAAGTTGAAATAAATCAACTGATATTGAATTACAGTGTTATCATTATAACAAAGTATAGTCCAAATGTCCCGTCAGTTACCGAGGAAAAGCCCGCTTGACATTACTAGGAGCCAAATGGGAAATGTGGCCCTGAGGTGAGGTGCTCACCTTTCATGCCAAATGTACCGGTTCGAAATTGGTGCGTACTGACTTGTCCAATTCAGATTTTTCTCTACCGTTTCATCTGTTTCTTCTTTTTTTTCTACCTCACGTAAAAAAATAGCAACCCCCCTCCCCCCTCCTAAATTTTTTTTTTTTATGAATAAAATAAAATCAAACAACCCTCTATCGCTCACTCACTCACTCACTCCCTAAATGTCCCTAGATTCTCGGATATGTAAGAAAAATATAAGTCTGCATGTGGCTCACGTTAAAGATCTATTGCAGGGGTGGGGGGTGAGCAACATTCAAAATTTCCTACCGGGTGAAAATCGTAAAATAATGGGCTGCAAGGCTGCCACCTGCACATCTTTTAAAAATCCAAGCAAGAAAAAAAATGTCCCTATATTGCATGAAAAATAAAAAGACACACTTTTACACCTTCCGTGAATAGTTCCAGTATTGACTGGGGGTTTTTTTTCTGGGGCATAATACATGAATCATCGAGACAGATCAAATGTAAAGGGTTCTATGTTTACCGCCAAGGAAAAGCTGAGCCATACATACTGTAAGAAGGAAGAAAAAGAAGCGCTTATTCCCACACACTCGCCTATCTTTCGATCTCTCTCCCTCTCTCTCTCTCTCTCTCTCTCTCTCTCT